CTGTACAAATTAGAACGTGCTAACAACAAAATCATGCAAAAATCATCAATTGAAATCAAATTTATTAACCAATGGTGATTTGGATGTGGACTTGGACACAAATCAAAGTGGACATACACTACAGGCTGATCCAACTTCCATGTAACGTCTTTAAAATAGGTCAAGATGAGGCTCAGTATTGTGTGTGGCCTCCACGCACCTGTATGTCCTCCCTACAATGCCTGGGCACGATCCTAATGAGGTGGCGGATGGTCTCCTCCAAGACCTGGACTAAGGCATTGGATCAAGACATAATGTCCCAGATGTGCTCAAACGGTTTCAGGTCTGGGCAACGGGCGGGGCCAATCCATTGCTTCAATAATCTTGCAAGACCCGCTGACACACTCCAGCCACTTGAGGTCTAGGATTGTCCTGCGTTAGGAGGAATGCAGGACCAACCGCACCAGCATGTGGTCACACATGAGGTTACAAGGATCTCATCTCGGTACCCAATGGCAGTCATGCTACCTCTGCAGAGCACATGGATGCCTGTGTTCATTGTGAACCTGCTTTCATCTGTGAAGACAACAGAGCGCCAGTGGTGAATTTGCGAATTCGGCGAATGCCGAACGTGCTGCACAACTTTGGGCTGTAAGCACAACCCCCATCTATGAATGTCGGGCCCTCATACCATCCTCATGGAGTCGGTTTCTAAAGGGCTGGTTATCCTCCCGCAGCAGTGTGTCGCAGTGAGCTTGTAACAGATATCTTTTATTTATGCCTAATATCGAAGCGTGGTCTGCGCTATGTTATTCCACGCCACAACGCAAGAGGGACAATCAGGAACTAGCTGTGGAACTAGATACGGCTGAGGCGGCGAGGAAGTGGGGACAAGTTTGCTCGACATCGGAGGGACATGAGAGCGAAAATATGGTGGAAAAAGGGTTTCAGCGTTCTCACGCTCCTCGCTCTTCTACCTGGTCCAACTTCACGAGTCGTTTTCCACAATGGCGGTCATACAAACAAAACAAGCCGTTAAGGTACGAAACAAGAAATATGCATAGTGTACAGCGGATGTAGCAGAGGCCTCCTGTCTGCGGTCGCGTACAATTTTTGAGAGTTGCAGCGGAGCGTCAGCGACAGGGGCAGAGGCACATTTGCATCTACTGCAACACACACACAAACGACCTAATTTCTGAGTATAAACCAGCCGTAAGCCTTTATGCACACACATTTGTGGCCTGCTGGAGGTAATTTTTTAGGGCTCTGGCAGTGCTCCTCCTGTTCCTCCTTGCACAAAGGCGGAGGTAGCGCTCTGGTAGCCCCTCCAGCCTCTAGACACTACAGACAAAGCAAACGTTCTATGGCATTGATGTGCCATTCTGGATGAGCTGCACTATCTGAGCCAGTGGTGTGGGTTGTAGAGTCCGTGTCATGCTACCACGAGTATGAAAGCACCACCGACATTCAAAAGTGACCAAAACATCAGCCAGTAAACCTAGGTAGTTGGAAGTGGCCTGTCGTCCCCACCTGCACAACCACTCCTATATTGAGTGTCCTGTTAATTGGCAGTAATTTCCACCTGTTTTCTATTCCCTTTGCACAACAGCATGGGAAATTGATTATCAGTCAGTGTTGCTTCATTAGAAGATGGTTTGATTGCTACAGAAGTGATTTGATTTGATTGTTGTTTACGTGTTTCCTTTGTTTTTTTGAGCAGTGTAGTTTTCCTTTAATATTCCATCAGCAACCAGGGAGTGATAGAAATATAATACTGGATTATAAATACGGACACAAGGTGGTTTTTCTGTCTGCAAGCAGAATCTAAACCAGAACAAATGCGTTTCTCCTCAGATGGAGGTGGTCCGTAAAGTGGCCACCTCCTTCTTCTGCCTCCTGGTATTCCTGTCAGTGTGTAAAGTATTCCCTGTGGAGCGGAACATCGATGACGATTTCATCGCCAGCACCCCGTTCTATGCTCAGGTGGTCTACCTGTATCTCTCCATGCTGACCACCCGACCCAAGTATTACTTTGTTTGGACGCTTGGTGGGTGACTGGAACCTTGATTTGAGTTCAGATTTACTAAACCTCTTTATGTCATTGGACTGTTTGCTCATTTCATCCTGAGGTTGTCTCCCTTTACAGCTGATGCCATCAACAATGCCGCTGGCTTTGGTTTCAATGGCTACGACGATAATGGCGCCCCTCGCTGGGACCTGATCTCCAACCTTCGGATATTAAACATTGAGGTCAGGATCATTAGCAGATAATAGATCGTACAGATTAGCAGCTAGACTAATTAGACTCAATTTTGTTTTAGTTTGCCACCAGTTTCAAAGTTTTCCTGGACAACTGGAACATTCAGACGGTCCTCTGGCTTAAAAGGTCTGTCTGCAGAGCGGGGGCTTATTAAGGATGTTTTTGAAATGAAACATGTTTCTTTAACCATGCGCTGCTCTTTATCTGTTGGAAAACAGGGTGTGTTATGAGCGATGTCCTTACCATCCAACAGCAGCCACATTCATCCTGTCCGCCATGTGGCATGGAGCCTATCCAGGATACTACCTGACCTTCCTGACCGGCATCGTTGTAACTCTGGCAGCGAGAGCGGTGAGTGAGGAGATGGATGGATGGATGGATGGATGGATGGATGGATGGATGGATGGATGGATGGATGGATGGATGG